CATCTTGGGAGATATTCAGAACTGCTTAGGACAAGGTCGTGAGCAAGGGTTGGTCTCGATGATCTCCAGATGTCCTTGCCAACCTCCACAGCTCTTTGGTTCTGTCAGCAGGACCTTCCCATCCCTTGGGCACAGAACAGTTTGCTCCCAAAGTGTGGCTGGCTGCTGCAGCAGATGTTCCACAGGCAGCACCAGGTCATTCCCACAACCTCTCCCCTTTGTGACAGCTCCTGTGGAATTTAATTATTATAAATGCCTGCTCCCTAAGGAAAGCACACACAGGGGAGGAAGATTGTACATCATCTTGAACCAGAACCACTGACACAGTTAGACCACAACATTAAGACCTCACGCTGCCTTCTTCCTTTAAGGCTGGAGGAAAGTTAGGAGTGGCCACAAGTATATTCTACAACCCAGGAGAAGCTCAGAGGGGCCTTTCTCTGAAATGCATGTGGCTTGGCCACGCTGACATCTGCAGAGGTGATGGATATCTGCCAACTTTACCAATCTCTTTGCAGAGAATCAGTAAGACCCAACATTTTTGAGCCAGACCTAGTGAGGAGAAACGTTTTATGATACTCTATGGCAAATCAAAACCAAAGCAGGAAGCTTATGTTGCAAAATATTGTCATGAACATCATGTTTCTACCCCTCATTTGTTCTTCACATAAAGACTGAAGACTGAAAAACTGTGGGGTTTTTGTTTGTTTTTGTTTAAGAAGCTGAGAGATATCACAGCTCCTGGTCTTTTTCTGCTTCTGCTGGACTCATTGGAGGGGTCCACTGACTTTTTCAATGAAACAGTATTATGTCTGACACTTTAATTTAAGGATGTGCCAAAATGAACACAAAAATACCTTTTTAACATAAGCTGCATGTTACCCTTTAGAGTCAAATGCATTAAAATTACAAAAACTATCACAGCAAAAGCCTTTATATAATCCATGAACCCAGGCAGCATTTAGGACCCCACATCATCTGAACATCATCAGTTCTCCAGTTCCCAGTGGTAGCAGGGATGAGATTCAATTTCCTAACACAAGGACAAGCACTAAAATTCATAAAAGCAAAACACTAACAGAGACCTCATTTTAGGGGGACTTTGTTTTGAGTTCTATACCCAGAATTTTCCATACATCTCTTAATCTTCCTGTATCTCCTCTAAAAAGAACAAGATTTCTAAGGTGGTGGCTGGGATAGCAAAGCCCCTGTTTGCTTCAGGACTGTGTAGCAAAGTTACTGCTGAAGTCTGAATTGTCATTTTGGGTTTGCCAGACCTCAGACCTATGCTCTATGCAGAGTCTGAACCAGTCTTCAACAAATCAAACTATTACTGTGACCTGTCCCAACAGCCCTAAGCCACCACTTCTGTTCAAGACCCAGCCAGAAGAAACCAGGACAGCTAGGCAGGAGGAGCAGAGCAGGAGGTCTCTCTCTCTCTCTCTCTCACACACACACACACACTACTTGCCCAGCTACAACTGCATGGCTTACCATTTCTCAACTGAATGATCCCATTTTCTCACTCTGTCTTTAAAAAAACTGCCTATTTATCCTATACAACCATGATTAACTACCTATGGTGGAGCTAGTAGGAATTTTACAGCCAAGTAAGGAGCAGTAGTACAAATTGCCTTACACTACCATGAATCAAGCTTAGTACAACACCAATTGCCTCCCTACCTGTGCTGAGGGGGCCCTTTTCATCACTTAGACTAGATTAAGAGGCAAGCCACGCAGAGCACATCCAATCTGTCCCACAGTCAGGTCACAACCTTGGGAAAAGCAATGGGATACGCTTTTGTCCATCCCAAAACTGCACAGAGGAGGCATCCAAGACCAGGAAAGGAGAGAAGGGGAAATCAGGAGTCAGTTTTGCAATCACAGGGTCTGGCTCTAGTTCCACTGACTCATATGTGTGCACCAAACCCCGGAGCAAACTGCAGCAGACAAAAGCTTTTCCCTCCCAGCAGTGCCCACAGCTGAAACATTGCCTATTCCCACTGCCATCCTGCCCAGCAATGCTTGGGGTTCCAATCCAGGGGTCCCAGCATGTGTGCAGTGTCTGGCATCCAGCTGGACTAAGGTCATGGCCATCAGCCCCACATCCAGCACTTGGATACTCCAGGTCATTTGAAATGGAAGGCACCAATTCAGTTCAGACAACTGGCTCGTATCTTCAAGTATAAAATATTTGTTCATGAGACAAATCCTGCTTCCCTCTTCTTTGGAGGGAAAGAGAGGTGAGCGTGACCTGTCTTTTAAAATGAGATACATTTGTCTTTTCAAGTATGAATGACTTCCTGAAGCAAATGGTTCAGGTCATCCCAGATAAATATCCTAGTCAAATCACAGCTTAGCTAATTTCTAATGAATGAAGCTACAGAGTAACCAGTGCATCTCAATGACCTTGAAAGGGAAAACAGAAATAGCAAGGCTCTGGAAATCAGTTCACAAGGCTCCTTGTGAGAAATGATCACAAACTATCAAAGTCAAATACTATCCAAAAATTATTCCCCTTTCTCCTGAAATTCCTTCTAAGTTTCCAGCCACAGACAAGAATCCCTGTTCCTCAACATTTTAAACTCACATTTCTCTCTCAGAGCACTGCACATCAGCCTGACACGTGCTCCTTCCAGCCTCAGATTCCTGGATGTATTCCCCACCTTGGCTGCAAATAGCTCAAGCTCTCTCAAGTTTCACAAATCTTCCTTTCCCATCCACTGCCATGGGCACTGCCCCTTTTGCTACCTCAGGCTGGTATCAGATGCACAATATTAAGTGACATTAGTACTGTGCTGGACCCTTAGGTTGCTTCTGCTCCAGGTACTCTGCCCTCTGCCTCTCCCCTTTCCCCAAAGACACACCAGCACCAACCAAAAATTCCCTCTGTCACTGCAGTGGGAACAGAGCCCAGCCTGTGCAGCTGCCTCCCCACCTCCTCAGGCACAGAAAGGCTCTGGGCAGAGCAGAAAAGAGATGGAATGCGTGCTGGGTCACTACAAGCACAGGAATGGCAAAAACCATTTCCCAGGTCAAGGGAAACCTGACAAGGATGCTGGAGAAGAGGATCCACTATCCTGGGCAGAAGGGAATTTTGTAGGAAGCGAAATCTGAAGGATAGGTACCAGCCCCACAGCCAGACTGTGCTGACCTTATCCTCTTCCCCCTTCTTCTCAACCTCCCCCACAACTATAATGATTTAAGAGTATAGTTGGTGCTTGAGGGTGTTCTTTCTGGCATCCACGTTGTGTCAGCTCCACATGGCAATGCCCACCATTGTGCCCCAGGTCTCCAACATCAGCGTGGCCTGAGGGCCTTCTTCCTTCAGAATTCACTAAATTGTACAGCTTAAGTCTCTGAAGTAATTTTATATTCCACCTCTATATCATATAGACAGGGGATTCAGAAACAGCCACAGTGATTTTTAGGTTATAATCACACCTTTCTTCTCTAATTCCCCTTTCCCTTTCAACTCCCTCCTCTGAAATCCTTTCAAAATGCTGCTGAGATAATCTCTCTGCTCTCTCTTTCTCCCCAAACAACTCCAAGTCTAAAATGCTTCTGTCTCTCACACTCTCCCTTCAGTTTATTATTTATCTTTACCATGCAGGCTCTTTTATCCCACCACAGTTCACAAGGTGTTAGGGACATAAAGGAAATGTTCCCAAGGAGCGTAAGGATCACAAGTGTGATGTCAGACCAGATTATTCCTAAACAATCCCCTACTTACATACACAGAAGGCAGCACTCAACAAACAAGCAGTGGGAAATAAAAAGGGTATAGAGAAGTAATTATGATAAAAACATGTGAGTTTGCTCAGGAATACTGCAATACCAGGAATTTTTCCTTTTATCTTTGAAAACCTTCTTTTCCCCTACATACTTTGGACAAGAGAGGTCAAACGAGGTCTTTGGCCTTTTTTGACCAACATATTGGTTCCTCCTCAAGCAAATATTCCTGGGAAGGAGTAAAAAAGACACACAACTTTTGGAAGCTATCACTGCACAAACCCAGGAGAGTCCTCACTGAAGAACCATATAAAATAAAACTGTCACAGAGCCAAAATATTCTCCTGTGACAGCCAAGCCTCTTGCAAGTTCCCAAATAAGGCCACGACTTTAAAGAGAATGTCTTTTCAAAGCCCCATTGATTTTCATTGCTTTTTGAAGAGGCACGTTGTTTATGTGTCTGGGTGTGCTGATATTCCAACAGGATGAGATGGGCACAGCTCCGGGGTTTCAAAGCCTGGTTTCCAGAGAGAATGAACCAGATAATCACAGGAAGCTGCTAAAGGCTGACAGCACTGCTCTGGCCACTGTTTGGGAGTGATTCCTGGTGCAAACTCAAACTAGAAGGTGTGAATATGCTAGCAGGAACAGCCAGCATTTCCTAGTACTCTGGAGACTGACCTCAAGTGAATTTTGAAGCACAATATTATTGCACCTCACTTTCCAAACTTCGGAGGCTTTTGCATCAAATTTAGGGTTCTTGTTAAAGTTCAGGACACGCTTTGGAGAATTTATCTGTTCTTCAAATACCAGATTACTCCTATTCAGAGAAAGAAATAAAGAAAAAAAAAACCCAAGCTTTGGAATTGCTGATCTTTGCTGCATCTAGTTCATATTTACCATCCACTCCTCTCCTCAAGTCTCTCCAGTATTTTCAACTTGGCAAATTGCTGAAAATGATCAGGTGCTTCAGTTCAAGTTTTACACTTGAATCACAGCACTGGTTCACATAATTCTTTGAAAACAAAGTCCACCCTTACAAAAAACCCTTCACAAAGACTGGCAAGTCTCAGCCACTCCAGCTACCCCATCTTCACAATTATGGTGTGTCCATTCCCTTAATAATCATACAGCAAAAAAAAAAAAAAAAAAAAAAAAAAAAAAAAAAAAAAAACACAAAAAACCAAAAAAAACTTACAGAACTTCCAGGCCACCAACAGAAAAGGAAGAAAAGCAGTCAGAAAGTGTGTCAGTAGAGCTTGTGTGTATTGAGGGCATGAGCTCCTGGGGTGATGCTGCTCTGTACTACTGAGGCACAAAGGAGACAAAAAGCCAGAGGGAAGGAGTACAAGCCAAAGCCAAGAAACACATCACACTTGTACCAAAACACCAAGAAAATCAAAATTGGTGGTTTGTGACTTTAAACAACTCCAGCAAAGCTCATTTCTTCTGTCCATGTGCTGTGTAGCCCAGCAGTGTGGGTGCAAGCAGGGTGTCTCTTGCACAAAGGGTTTGACCTGAAGTGAGTTCCCACCCTCTCCACCTTGATCAAACATTCACACTCCTGTCTTCGCCTGTGAAGCACCATGCAGCCACAAATCAGGTGAAAAGGTGACTAAACCAACAGAAAACTGATGAATTTCCTTTGCCTGGATTAACAGATTAACAAAACATCCCACAACAAAATGCTCATGGAATTACCACAAGAGGAGAGCAGTGGGAAAGTCCTTCTAGAGCCAAGGGGGAATAAACACACAATTACACTAGTTTAGGCCTAACTAATAAACTGTCCTGTAAGGTTTATCTGCATGAGAAAACTCTAGAAAGGTAATCTGAATTAACATTTCTGTAATGAATGAAACCACACTAGATCCCTGCAGACACACTCATTATTAATTAAATCAACCCTCTTTCATATTTGGTGAATTAAACTTAATCAAATTAAGGTCACATGAATGCTGAATCAGATAATATATATAAAATGGTTTGATTTAGTTTACCTAATTTATTTTACATTCACATTTTTGGTGATTAGGATTAGTTTTCCTTCAAATCCTTGCTCAGACAGCTTTAGAATAGAGACAGACAGCAAAATCCTGAGGAGATGCTGCAAAAATTCCCTCCATAATCAGCAGTTTTGAGCTGTCAATGAGTTCACCCCCAGGAAAGGGGTACTCAAAGCTGTGTATCCCAGTGAGGACACACTGCCAGGGCTGCTGCATGCTCAGTTTCCATGAAGGTTCTGTCTTCACTAAAGTTTCCTGCCTCTGTCTTCACTAAAGTTCCTCTGGTGCCTGGAGGCTGGAGAGAAAATCAGACCCTGGGAGTCTTCACTTCATCCTCCTGCACTGCAAGGACTGAACAGATGCCGATGGGCCATGAGAAATGCATGTCCTGAAGGAAAATGCAACAATCCTCAAGGAAGCTGAAGCATTTGATGTGGTTATTTTTCAAATAGCAGGTCACAAAAATATTTGACGTGTTTTTTACTGTTGAGAAAACACAGCAGTTATCAAAGTTCTTGTTTGTAATAAAATAACAAAAAAACATAAAAGCCTGCTTCTTCAGGCAGACATGTTAAATTGAGTTGCCATGTTTATTCACAGTTTCAAGGTCTTCTCATTTTGCTTACCCTGCTCCAACACTTAAAAAGTCACCCCTGAGTCTTCTAGCAAACTCCCTTCACATTCCTCTTATGTGACTATGCTTTTTACCATTAAAAAGATTTTTCTGTCTACACAGATGTGTAGACAAATGCACTCTGTCGTATTTAGGGCACCAGTCATCTAATATTTTCTGTGATGCAGGTACCATCTGTGAAAGTGAACTGCAGTTCAGGCCTATCATACTGAGATGGGTGTTGGGGAATCAGAGAGGGAAATTGATATTAGATTATAATCCTACTGCATTCAAATAAAAGACAAGGGTCTAGCAAGGTCAAGCTTAACCTTTAATACCCAGGCATACCTTTATATATTTTTCAGGGAACCTTCAGCTGTGTTGTTTGTTTTCCAGTGTCCACTCAGGATTATCATCTTTGAAGGGTCACAAAAGGTGTCCAAATCTCTGAAGCAAAAGGATGATGAGGAGACCTTGATAGCAACAACAGATGACAGCTGGCATCAGAGTGCAACTAAGGTTGCAGTGACAGACTGACCAAAGTGGCAAAGAGATCAAAGACTGGAGACCATAGAAAACATTCCTGGGTGAGGAAAAAGGACTACTCTTTTAGCAATTTAGCATGGAAGTCGTTAACAAACCACTGGGTTAGTCAGACCATGCAGCAATCTAAATGTGAGTTCCTGCAAGGATGAAATCAGCACTGCGAGGAGGGTCAGACACGGAGCATCATTTCCCCTTGGGTTGTCCTGCAGCGCTGTGGGGCATCACAGCCTTCTCTGCCATTCCCTCTGGTGCTACAGACATTTACACAGCTCCCTGGGGAACTGATTCAGGAGACTGAGCCAGCTGGAAACAGGGAGAACTGACTAAAGCAGACCTGCACCAGTACTCAGGACAGCAGTAACATCTAAATGCACACGCAAGGCATTCACCCCGAACACCTCTGAACACACTTCATAGCTTGAGAATGTCCTTGTGTGCCTTTATTGCTCTTACAAACTTGTTTCCACATTCCCTGGCTTGCTGGCTCAGTGTCCCCTCTGCTATTTCTGTAACACTCTCATATTTAATACCATGAAATTTTAAAATAGTATGCTGGCTCAGGTTTTTTGAGCTCCTGCAAAGAGTTGCAGTCATGCAGTTCCAGCACTATCTTTATTTAGCAAGCCAGGACAGAAGAGACAAGCAGACCCTTGCAGCTCACCCTTGGGTCACATCTTGAGGAATATAAAATGAGGAGGAATTCCCTGGGATCAATACAAGCCCTGAGGGACCCCCCAGTAGGACACACACACTCTTCAGCTACACTAAACACACTGACCATCTTTCTGTTCCCTTCTTATTTCCACTTTTGCTTGTGAACCCCTGAAAGGGAAGGACCCACCTCACCTGCCTCACTGGGATGGCTCTGGCAGCCCCAGCCCTCCACACTCTTTCCCAACAAACCTGCTCCTTGTACCACATGCCCACCTCCTCTGCTCCCCCAAGGGCTGGAGTTGTTTTTAACTTACTGACAGGTTTTCAGATAATAATTGTTCACTGGAGGTGGGGGGGACATTTTAAAAAAGATCCTTATATTCCTATTTGTATATGTTAAAGGTGAGGACTTCCATAGAGAGGACAGGAAAAACTTTTGTTTCCCCTCCTAAAAACTACAAATTTCCCCTGCTGAGTTCTGCCCTCAAATGAAGAAGAGATCCTTCACTGCTCCATCAGACCCCAACCCCTTCGATACTTGCATGCACACTTACATTTATCACGGTCAGTGGTCTCAGCAAACAGCCATTAGGGTCACAAGCACCAAGGATGCTGCTCCCACTAATAAGGTCAGGAATGCGCACAAGTCCTTTCAAGATTAAGGCCTGAATGCCGTAGCATCAGCCAGCTTTGTCCCTGCCTCCAGCATTAGATGTGAGCAGCTGGAACCCCCAAGGATGGAGGCTGATGGCTCTGGGCTGACCTGCAGGTACAGGCAAGTGCCTCTGGACTGCTCCTGGGTGTGGGATGAACCAGACATCCCTGGGCATCACCCCTCACCCCAGCAGCCTTGGAGACAGCTGTGTGTGGTTCTGAGTGCTGTGAGCTAAAGTCTGACAGTTCAGCACCAATGAAAACAAATAAACACAAAGCCAAGAGGCAGCCGGGCAGGCTGTAGGAGGATCCATCACAACACTGGGCTACCAGCGGAATCTGAGCTGGTGTTGGGAGCTGTGGATCACTTTGGTGACAGCTGACAAAGCAGCACCTCTAATGGGCAATACTGCACCTGCCAAAGTGTGATGAAGAGATGTAACTCCTTGTCTCACCTACTCAAAGATGGCTCTTATTACCAGACAAGCAAGACAACAAACAGGGACAGATAAAGGACATTTTATTAAGCATACAGGTAAAATGAACATGTAAGTTCATTCTTCTCTCTTCTACTTACTAAACAGTCAAAGAAATTTATTGCCTGAGAAGGCTGCTTTATTTGGATGATAAAACCCTTACTTTTCAACAACTGTGGGATCAAAAACAGACTTATATTCACCTAGGTGATGTATTTAGTTAATGAAAAGAAAGATAGCATGCAAATGGGTTGCAGCACTCAACACTAACTCATGATGAAGTCATAATATTAAAGCTACCTCATTCTGTCAAAATATACTCGTCCAGTACTCCTCTCATTTTAAATTAAAAATACTTTTCAAAAAGAAATTCACAGATTATCTCAAATCTCACTACTGTTTGGCAGGTGGGACCTAGAATGACAGACAAAACAGAGCCATGTAATAAATTAATTTTAGTATCAAAAGTATTTTAAGTGGCTAATAAGAACAGTAAGGAGCTAACAGAGATAGGTACACACATACAAACTGCATGAAATATGTGCATATGGGGATGATTTTAAACTTTTTTCCGATTTTTTAAATTTTTGTAGACAATTTTTGATCTCTCTTTTGATGTCCTCTGGACCATGAACCATGAATTGAGCAGTGACAGTCTGTTCAGTGCTGAAGACATATTCCTACTCATCCAGCAGACATGTAACAGACAGATCCAACTGCAGCTTTTGGACTTGAATTTACTTATTTAAGCTATCCTCTCATCATGAGCACTCAGCAGCCCTGGGTGTGTTTAGCTGTTCCTGTTGCATGCAGACACACACGCTTGGAACATCACTGCAGCCAGCTCCCAAAATGTGTACAGCTCTGGAAAGAAAAGCATTAACATGCAATTAAAGGGATTATGGTGGCCACGGCCCTGCTTCTTGTTAATGCCATTTCACTGGATTTTCTAGATCTCCTCATTACTGGGGGAGTGGCTTACTGGCAAGGGATAAAGGAAGGAAGTTACACACATGCTAAGAAGCAGCGAATGATGGGAATGGGAAAAGAAGAAAGGGGAAGAAGGAATGAATGGATGGCAATACATAATGAACTTTGCTGTAATGCTTAACATTTACTACAAAGATGGTTGTCATCCTCAGAATCGCTTTTTGAACAGGAGATTTCAATCCAGCAAAGCAAGGACTTCAACAGGACCAAACTTAAGCCTTAAATCCAGTGCTAGACTGAGACCCAGCTACTTAACATCTTAATTCCCTCTCAGGTAAGAATTTTCATCCTCCAGCAGATAAAGCAATGATGCCAAAAAGGCTAAGAGATTTAGCAGCTGCAGACCAGCCCAGGAGGTACAGCATGCCTGCACCATGGAGCTCACCCCCACAACAAGGACTGGGTCTGACCAGCCTTGCTGCAGAAACACAAACTGCTGGAGCATTTCCCTGTGCCTGCACCCGTGGCACAGCAAGAATCACAGTACTACACAGCTTGCTTTTTTTTTCATTTTCTATTTTACTCTCTTTTCACAGAAAAAGATGTCTATCCATCCTGACACCTACACGAAGCCAAAGAAAGACAGAAATACAACTGTGAGATCTCAAGTTGCAGGAATGACACCTACTGCCTGGGAAATGAACTGCTCACCTAAATGAGATCGAACTCAATGGTGAGGAGCTTCCACAGAGCAAACCAGCACAAAGACATGAGCCAGCAATGTGTGCTCACAGCCCAGAAAGCCAATTGAATCCTGGGCTGCATCAAGAAAGGGTTGGCCAGTAGGTAGAGGGAGGTGATTCTGCCTCTTTCTTCATTCTGATGAGACCCCACCTGCAGTGCTGCACCCAGCTCTGGGGTCCCCAGAACAGGAAAGACAGCGACCTGTTGGTGTGATTTTTAAAGTCCTTTCCAACCCAAACCATTCTGTGATTGTACAAGACAAGTCCAGCCCCAGTGCTGACTGTGAGGGTGATCACATCAAAGTCCACAGTCAGGGAGGGAGGTTCAGTGATTTAAGAAAGGTGTTTAATTCCTGATAAACAGTATATATAACTCAGGGCAGGTAGAAACACCTCCATCATGAACTCAGCTGAAAATTACTTTTTTTGGAGAGGGAACACGGTTAGTAGTTAGAAAATACTCATCCATACCAACAGCTAGGCTACACAGTTTGTACCTCAAAGCATAGGGAGCTTGAAGTGGAAGGGTCTGCAGAGCCTAAGAGGAAGAACAGGAGCAGCATCTCAGTAAATTAATTATTTTAATTTGTAGTAATAGCATTCCCTGAAGAAATGGTTTCTTGAGCATTTCTGGTGTCAAGGAACACTACCACAACCTATCTTATATATACACCCTTTGCACATGGAAAGTGAATTTTCTTTTTTCTGTCTTTCTGTGTAAAACTTCATGACCCAGCTCATCCTACCAAACCACAAGTGGCTAAATCAGCACAGCTGAGGGGAACAAGAATGGGAACTCAGGAGAAATATATAAGCTAACACTGAACTTGAAACAAATTTAATGCTTGAATGCCTGCATCAAGAAGGAAAGTCAAAAGTTTCTGGCGGCCACATGTTACAACTTTAGGACTATGAAATACCCAGTGAAATGTAATGCTTCACTGGTTGTAGTTGCATTACAGAATGGCACTCTGGATAGCCAGAAATGTGAAAGTTTCCAGGCTCAAATATTTGGTAAAGACTTGCCCATTCTCTCCTCTGACTAATAAAGACACATATCCTTAATGCTCCTACAGCTCTCAAATGATGAATAGTTTTGGAAAGACTGTCAATAATATTCCAAGCATTTGCCCAATGCAGAAGTACAAAGTCACACAGGAAGAAGCATTCTGCAGTGCTAAATACACCAGAAATGGAGAGAAAAATAATTAAACTCTTTCCAGTTTCACAGGGTCACAACCTGGACTGAAACACACTTTGAGCATTACTGGGTGATGTGCAGGCACAGCCACGAACCCAGAGCTGTCACGGGAACCATGAGGTTCCTACAGCACAGGGCAGAGATGTCCCCAGCAGCCCAGCTACAGGGGACACTGCAAAGCTCCCGTGGGCTAATAGGAAGAAAGCAGATTAACCCAAGCAAGGCTGTGTGCTGCCATGACTTGCAGCCTGGCACCCTGGCTGGAGGTCTGGTGTCTTCTCCCAGGGCTGCACTGGGACAGGGACAGGGCTTTACGGGTGTGCTGATGGTGGTTTTCGGTCCTTTCCCCTCATTACAGCACATCAGATCAAAAAGCAGATGAAATGGAAGTCTTGGGTAGGTGACTGCAGATGAAATCTGCCTGAGGGTGAACAACAAGCCCAGACAAAGGAACAGTGGCACAGTTCCTCCACCTCTCCTCCCTGCTCCTGAGAAACTGAGTCCAGGCCACAGAGCTGAGAAAAAGAAAAAGGAGGGGAAGAACTGTGCGTCCCCTGAGTTCTGCCAAATGATGACTATGAACAAAACAAAAAAAATATGAGGGCAATACCAATGTACAGCGGGGGCAGTCTTTGCTGTTTACCTACTGCAGTGAAAGACAATACCAAAACATCAGAGATGAGATTTTCTTAAATGCAAATAAAGAGTGGATGAGATAATACTATGGTTCCAATTCCACAAAAAAACCTGAAATATTTATAACGACCTTCTCAAAAAAAGAAAACCTGCAGCTCATTCAACTTATTTTATTTCATCTTATTTTATTTCATCTTATTTTATTTCAATTCTGTAATTATTAAGATTAAAAAATAGTGACAATTAATTTCATTTTGGCAGCAGTTTTAGAAATATTTTTGAAAAAGTTTCCATACTGCTCCTTACACAGTGCTCAGAACTGAGCGAAGCTACAACATGATAAGAAAAAGGAAAGAAATAATGAAACTTACAAGATACAGGAAATGATTTGAAAGTGAATTGTGTTTGCACTTTGGAAAGATTTTTATGATTTCTTACAAGAAACAAAAATATTTAAAGTAAAATACTTCAAAAGAGAGAAGTACTGCCCAAAGAAGTAGCCAGCCATGTGCAGACAGACTATGCAGACACCTTTAATTGTGACACACTTTAATGGAGCTGTTCTATATCAGTGTACCTGTTGTTTAATATGGTCTGAGAGACCCAGAAACAGACAGAAGGGGCACACCACACAAACCCACAACACTGAGTTAAACAGAACTGTGTACATTTGAAAGATTATCTTCATTATCTTCAGCTTCAGTCATACCACTACAAAATACCAAAATAACAAAAAAAAAAAAAAAAAAAAAAAAAAAGAGGAAACGCACAAAAAGATGTCCAGGATCTAAGCTTTATTTTAAAGCGTGGGGGAAAAAAGTTGAAAGTATGCAGAATAACAGCATGAAAGAGGCACAGCTGGCCTGCCTGTTCCATGGCCTGACAGTCGGGGAACGCTGGTGGGAAGCCAGCATTGCCAATGGAACACCACTGCTGCCTTTACATGGCCACAGCCACCGTGGCACCACCTTCAGTGGAGGTCAAAAATCTCCTGACAACGAATTTATCTGCAGCTAGAGCTTACCTAGCCCTCTAAAGATCAAGGATGAGCTAACAAAAGCAATTTTCTATCAGCAGCACAGTACCCACACTTGGGATTCTGCTGCCCCAACCATGACAGGCAAAGGGCTGGGAGCTTTCCTTTCAAGAGATGCTGGCAGAACTGCGAGGCACAAGCTCAGCTTTAAAGGCTGAAAACCTAAAATTATCCAAAGGCAGGGCTGGGGAGGGTGGTCTGGCAGCTCCCAGCTGACCCCAGGCATACACAGCCACACACACCACAATGCCACAGCACGCAGCAGGAGTCAGAACATGGCAGGACAGAGCCTTTGAATTAAACAAAAATTAGTTAGGTTACAGGCATATTGCTCCAGCTCAGAAATCAATTGCTAAGTGACAAGGTTAGATTATATTTTATAGCCAACTTGATTTTATTATCCATTTCAGGCTGTGCTCCTGCTTTTCTACTGGAAACACTGAGCTACAAAGTCCACCGGTCCAGTGAGGTTGGTAACCCCAAATTTGATGATATTATAAATAAAAACATCACATTCTCTCTTGTTTTTTACAGATGCAAATAGAAAGAAACAGTAAAGAGAGAAAAGTTAGAAAATGACACTGCATACATGCAACTCCAGTTACCCTCCATGCAAACTGAAAGAACTGGCAAGACTCTTGAGTTATCTCATAAACTGCTTAATGAATAGAAAATGGGGAGGACACTGAAATGCTCAGAACATTGCGTTTATTGGTATAAATGTATGGACTTTGCTTGCTTATGTCTGAAAACAAAAGGGTTAAGAAATACACTTTATATACCTTTCCATTATTAAAACAGATTTATACTATGAATATTCAGTCCTCTTTTTCTCAACATATTGCTCCATCCATTTAAATTAGAGCTAAATACAACATCTTTTTCAGATTTCCAGTTGATAGCCATATATCAGATCAAAAAGGCTGACTTTAGCTGAACTCTAAGGTGCCCAGGGACACTGTTTCCCCCCATAATTTCTGTGCTGAACTCATTACTTTGGCTTGGATGAAAGCATGTTATACCACAAAAAAGTAAGGAGGTATAGTTCTAATCTGAATAATCCTGTTTAGAGGCTGGTTCCATCTCCAGATATTAACTGTATGTTTTGTTTGGAAAAAAACTATGTGTTTAAATAGGGAAGTTTCCCTCTCCTCCCCCATCACTGCCTCAGGAGCACAGCACAGAGAGCAAACGTACACTCACTACAGCCATGGCAAAAAGAGATGAATTTTTTTCAGAGATACACAAAAAGTGCTATGTCTGGTTTTTGTTTTTAAGAATAGGGACCACTGAAACACAGATGCCTTATAAACTAGAGGTATGACTAAGAAATTATAGGTTACGCCTCTGTTGACAGAATGTAAAAATTTTATTTTCACCTACAGTGATATTCATAGACATTTTCCCAAACATGAGCTAATTTTGTTACTTCTAAGAATAAATTAATATTTGTTGTCAAATAACCACTACATTTCTTGTACTAAAGCAGTATTTTTGTGTACTAAAAAAAAATAACACCTCTGCACTTTAACATTTTTCACACAGGGACCCTAATCCATTTTTGAGGCAGAACATCTATTATAATCTGTTTTATTCCTAAGGTGTCTGGTACACCTACTATTCACACACTTCATACCTTTGAAATGAAGACATAAAGAACTATCAAAAAATTGAAACCATCACATAAATGCAATAGTGCAAAGAATAGCACTGCAATCTATCCACCACAAAAAGTCGTATAAATAAAACACACATGGTTAAGCAAATGTTTCAAGGAGGTTTTTATTAAATGATTATATGGCCTGCCAGGGTATTTTGGAATTATACAGCCCGTATTTATTAAACAAGAATTGTTATTGGAAAAGGTTTTAGGTGATTTACTGACAAGTACAATCTATTCAGTAATGTCTGTATATGCAAAGGAAAAAAACCTGTAATGGAAGCATTTAAAAACAGGAATCCATTTTAAAAAAACCCAACAAAATAATAATATACATTAAGCATGAAAGTGATATTTATAACAAAAGACTATTTTAAGTGTGATGCACCTGCAAGTGCCAAGTGTGACGTGGGGAAAGCAGGAAAGGGCAGCTGCACAAGGACACGCCCAGCAGCAACACAGACCAGCTCTGGCTGCCTCACCTCGAGCAGAGGCAGCCTGGGGCAGCCTAGAACAGCAACCCCTCCATCACTGTCAAAAGTGAGGATATGGGCAAGTTCTGGAGCCTCTCCTGGAGTTAAGCTACTTTTTCCTTCCAAAACACCCTGAGAGTGCCCAAGCTCTCCTGGTGGGGATCACTTTGGGTACATTATGATACTTGATAATTCACGGTCTGTCTTGGTGGGATTCTCTCCCCTCTGCCCTCTTCCAACAAAGTGCAACCACCAACTGAGGAAGTTCATGTGGAGGAGAACATCATCAATGTGAGAAACCCAGCATCACTGCAGCCTTCCAATCTGCCCACGGTGCCTCCTTGGGCTGAAAGATGGGCTCAAAGATGGGCTCATGGGTCAGTAAGCCAACTTTCCTTCTTCCTCTGGAAAGAGCTCTAGCAACCCTTCTGCATGGGGCCAGAGTTCTCCCAGCTGGGCTGCCAAGTGAGCAGGAGGGAGCAAGGGAACACTTCCCTACCATCTGTTGTGCTTGATGACTTCTCCCCAGAGGTCTCTGACTCGAATTCTGGTCAGACCAGGTGAGACTGATGCAGACACACCTTTTGCACGGACACCAGAGACACATGACCACCAGATACATGACATAGCAGGTCTGGGTGCTTTTGGCCCTCCCCAAGAATGTAATTTTAATCAAGTGAGAAAAATTAATGTTAATGTTAATGGCTAAAAAAAATCGATGCAGCTCCAAGTCTTCAACACACATGATAGTGCCAGACTAAATGTAACTGTAAATGTAGGCAAAGGCTTTTCTGGACTCCCACTGCACTTCCCAGGAGCAATGCCAACCCTGCAATTCAGGAATCGGGCACCACAGAAAGATATCTGGCTTCAAACTGTTCTTTCCATTTTTAAGGTTTCCCAAAGCAATTTTATTTTGCTAAAGATAATTATTAAGTGGAAAAATTCACTAGTATTAAAGACGAATCAGGGGCTGGGCTGCTCCGAGATACTGACAGCGCAAGTGAACTCGAATAAATGAGGGAAGAGAGAGGTTTGGACGAGTATAAACCAAGCCAAATAACGTTTCCCCTCCATCCTTCCACCATGAAATTGGGTTGGTGGGGCTTTTTGCCCTTCGTGTTCACACCTGCCAAATGGACCTCGGGACAGCTCCGAGCTGTAGCACCCGCTGCCTGGGAGAGGGGGACTGGCGGAGCCGGCACGGCCCATGCTGGCTGCTCTTGGGCAATACCCCATCTCCACTCCTCCGCTGAACTCCTCGTTCACTTCCTCGCACCCCGCTCTCCTCGCCGCCCCCCCGGGCTGCACAGCCCGGCTCTACCGGGCGGATCCCGGCTGCGGGGCCCGGCATCACCGGGCAGATCCCAGCAGCAGCAGGGCCCGGCACCTCCGGGCCGATCCCGGCTGCACGATCCGGCAGCAGCGGGCAGATCCCTGGCTGAAGGACACGGCAGCAGCGGGCCGATCGCGGCTGCCCGGCCCGGCAGAACCGGGCACATCCCGGCTGCAGGGCAGCGCAGCACCGGCACATCCCGGCTGCAGGGCCCGGCAGCACCGGCACATCCCGGCATTAGGGCACAGCAGCGGCGGGCACATCCCGGCATTAGGGCACGGCAGCGGCGGGCACATCCCGGCATTAGGGCACGGCAGCGCCGGGCACATCCCGGCATTAGGGCACAGCAGCGGCGGGCACATCCCGGCATTAGGGCACAGCAGCACCGGGCACATCCCGGCATTAGGGCACAGCAGCACCGGGCACATCCCGGCATTAGGGCACGGCAGCGGCGGACACATCCCGGCATTAGGGCACGGCAGCGGCGGGCACATCCCGGCATTAGGGCACGGCAGCGGCGGGCACATCCCGGCTGCACGGCCCGGCAGCACCGGCACATCCCGGCAGCACCGGGCACATCCCGGCATTAGGGCACCGCACACCGCGGCAGTTTCACAGGCGCTTACAGCCTTTTGTAACCGCCAGATAATCTGTCAGATGGACTTAGGCACTGACAGCCAAA